TTCCTCATTGGACTATTTCAATTTCTGAGCAAGATTATTATAAATTTACTTGGTGAGATCACCAAGACACCATCTTTCCTTTAGATAAGAACACAATACTCTAAAATAAAAAAGACAACAGATTAAATGTTGCAGGCAATTTCAAATAAGGCTACATCTCATACTGCTAACGTCTCACCATTACCTTCCAGCTCTCCATTTTCACTACTGTCTACAGCTTGTTCACTTAACTGTGCTGAGATCAAATGTGCAATCAGGAAAAAGGCCAGTGAAAATGCTTTTTGTCTGTATTTTTCTAGCCTAGTTCTGAGAAAGCAGAAGCCTTTCAGGGAGAGATACATGGAAATCTGTTCTTGCCAAGAGATGCTCTGTCAGCAAAATACTCCTTAATTCAAATGTGTCAAGCCTTGACATCATGAGCCTTTTTTTTTCTTGGTGGCAAATAGCAGAACAGGCACTGGAGTGACAGGACATATATTTAATTATTAACAAATTCTGTAGGGTTTCTTTGAGGTCCCATTTACCATCAACACAATGAACTGGTACATCTATCAGGAAGCACATCCTGCCAGCTCAGGGACATAAATCTGTTCATTGAACATTCCCTATCATGTCCCCGGAGATCAATTGCTGTCCTGTTTGTTTTTTGTTGATCTCTTGACAACAGGGGCTGTAAAATGACTTAGCAAGGTTGTAGGAAACCTGTGCTCTGCAGAAAAGCCACAACCAGTGCTTAAATCTGTTAGCCTCAATTCCACCATAGAAGACCAATGTTTTAACTATAAGAGAAAATTCAACTGAGAATTTGGACCAAGAGGGAAGATGTGGTAAAACAAACACTCATGATGGGGCAAAGTTGAGCTGTACCAACCTGTGATGGAAGCTCACTTCTCCAAAATACAAGTCTCACCCCTCCAAACCAATGTACTAAATGTACAATAAGTCAGCCTTTTACTCCTGGACTGATACTGCTTCCAGTCTTTTGCAGTGTAAGATTTCGCAACTGAGGGAACACGGATGTTTAACAAGATGGGTCAAAAGCTCCTCCTCTGAAGAGCAAATTGGACAAGACACTTAACATAGTTCTAGAGGAGGTGCTCCCTCAAGTGATAAAAGATATCTGTTTCTCTTGTAGCACATGATTTTGCTCTGCTACCTAGTTTACAATTCATAAGCTTTGTTTTGTGACAGGTTATTGGAAGGTTAAATACCGGCTTAATTTGCAAGTCTAATTGCAGAGGCATGCATCTCCCAGAAAATCCCATTCTAGCAGGGAAACCTTCTCCCCACCAATCATTGTGGCCTGTAGTATAACATAATTAAAATAAATATAGGAATAGGTGTGTGTATGTGTGTGTGTGTGAGAGAGAGAGAGAAAGGGAGAGAGACTTATTTTCCACCCGGGGTTTAGGCCATATAGCACTAGGAGTACAACTAAAGGACAGGAGGTTCTTGCTATAGAAAATGGCAGTGCTGTTATTTGGCATTTTAAACAAAGCAGCTCACAAGTACTTTAGCATTGTCCCTACATTTTAATTAAGCACGTACAGTCTTTTCCCCTTGGATTTTTTTTTCCAGTTCTGCAGAAAACAAGTATGCAGCTTAACCCTCTCTGAAGAGACCGTTGTGTCGGTGCAACACCACCTCTATTGTCTTCTCCTTTTTCCATCTGTTTTCTATCTTAGCTCATTTCATGCCTTCCAACTTTCATGATTATGTTATGAATCCTGGGAGTATAAGTCATTTTCTCCTTCCCAGCTTTCTCTTGAAATGATGTTTTCAGCCCTTAAGTTTGAAAGGATGAGGGGGCCGTGCTACATATTCAGCTGATGCAAAAGTCTTTGTTATTTGTATCAGAGCATTGCACAATTTAAAATTGTGGGCATATATGAAATGTAGTGAGTGCTGCATTGATTGAATTTCTTCACAGTCACAGAAACATTGCCCTGTATCCAAGTAGCCCCATTTTACTTGATTATTCTTTGATTTTCCTACTTTGCTTCAAAGTCTATCAAGTGACTTCCAGATGCTCCAGCTAGAGTCTTGCCTTGGTGGGGGACATTCTTTGACATTCACCCATTAGGCTAAGTGTGTTGTTTTTGTTCTCCGTCAGTTTCACCTAGCCTGGTTTAATATTTAGAGCTTGAGATGTGTGTAGAAAACTTTCCCCTCAATTTTAGCTGTTGTCTAGGTCAGCCATGCTCAAACTTCTTTGGCCACAGCCATAAATACAATATGAAAGAAATAGAGGCCGAATCAGAATTGTCTAAGTCCTATAATGAGCCTTAGAAGGGGTGTGTGAAGACTCGTTTCTGGCCTGTGGCCCCCTTCAAATGTGCCAGGGCCCCCCAGAGGGCTGTATAGCCCCCGCTGAGAATGGCTGTTTTTGGGAAGTGGATCCGTTTGGTGTTTTATTACTTTATTTTGTTCATTATTTGTTAGCACTTCTTGACATACCGCTGGAGAGGCAATGCCAGTCAAATAAGATTCTTTTCCAATGTGGGTAGGTTTCAGCCAGCCAGTAATAATCCTGCATGATTCATTATGAGCTACATCTACTTGTCTGACATGTACTGCCTTGCAACATATGGCACTAACCTATTCTGCTGTAGAGCAGAACAGGGACAAAGGTGTTATTCTTATGGTTTGTGGGTGTGTACCTCAGTCTGACCCAGTTTCCTAAATATCTTAATTTTGGTGGCAAATTTCTGTTTGGTGTCTAGAAAATGATTTTTGTAGGTAAGGGCTCAATCCAGAGTAACATGCAAATACTTTGGGGTGCAACAATGTTCCGAAATAATGTTAAAAAGTAATGGTGCCAGGATAATATGCTGTAGGAGACGATTCCTTTGATTTCTCCAATGACTGTACTTCCCTTGAAATTCAACAAACAATCTTCAGGAGTGACTATGATCCACAGAAAGTTAGCTGTCCTTCTCCCATTGATTTCAATTGAATTTTAGTGCTACCAACTTTTTTTAGATTCAAGAAAATGTAATGTAATTACATTTTTCTTAAGCAAGCAGTCTTTTGAATTATTTCATTTACTTTCATGATTTCCAGATGTCCTCCCATAACCTTTTGCATTGGCAAGCATTGTGTATATTTCTTTCTCCCTCTCTTTTCTCCTCTTTGGGGGAATATTTTCTTACACCCATGGAAGTCCGTTCTTCAGTTTCTTAAAATGTGTCAGCTAGGACTGCCTAATGACTTGTTCATACTTCACAATTTGAACTCACATACAAACAGTATTCATATTTATAGTAGCAAAATATGTGTGTGGTGCCATGTATTGTGAATCATCATTATCTTAGAACTGCAGAGCAGGAAAGGACCCTATGGATCATGTCCCATCCCTGTCAAGAAGGCACAATGGAGAATTGAGCTCCCAACCAGATACCTAAACCCTAGAGCTATCCAACAAGAATGTCCCAGGACCATGAAAACATGTGTCCAATCCCTGTCAAGAAGGCACAATGAAGAACTGAACTCCCAACCAGATGCCTAAACCCTAGAGCTATCCAGCAAGAATGTCCCAGGACCATGAAAACATGTGGGTTTTGCTCCAATAAAGCAGACATTTGGCTACCAGAAAAAGATCAGGTCACATGACTGTGTTTATTGTGTGGGAAACCCAGTCATTTACATATGTTTTGCATGTCTTGTTTGCCACTGAAGCTTTCATATTTTTGCACCTAACTTCAACAGACAGGGAGACAGTTTTGATGCAATAAAGCAGACATTTGGCCATCAGAAAAAGGTCAGGTCACATGACTGTGTTTTATTATGTGGGAAACCCAGTCATTTACATATGTGTCTGTTATCTACAGTTTTGCATCTCTTGTTTGCCACTGAAGCTTTCATATCTTTGCACCTAACTTCAACAGACAGGGAGACAATTAATGTTAAGTGAACCTGTGCTCATGCGACAAGACCTCCCCTCCCCTCTTCTCTCTTGCTGCCATCCTGCAAAACCTGAAAACCCCCTTTTCTGGAACAGATTGGGTGGAAGGCCCAGAAGAGGAACTCATCCCATTGGTGCAGGAATGGGGAATGGGTGTCCCTCCAGATCAGGGCTTGGTAAAATTATTTGCCTGGGTGACGTCTTCCAGGTATTATGGCCATTGGCCATGCTTGGTTGGGAGATTCTGGTAATTGCAGTCCAAGTAATTAGTATTTCCAGGGTCTGTTCCAGATGTTGTCAAACTGCAATTCCCAATCATTCCTCGCCATTGGTATGCTGACTGATGGGAGTTGCAGTCAAACATGACTTGAGGGCTGCATGTTTCTTACCCTTTTGCTGTTGGATGCTCTTCCACTATGGGATGCAACCCATTAATAGCTACATTAATGGCTACAATCAAAAGTAAATTGGTTGCATTTGATTTCTCTGTTTGTGTTATGTGCTGTCAAGTCACATCCAAACTATAGTGGCCCTAACAGGGTTTTCAAACATGGGAGATTTTCCTAGTCTGTCACTCTGTTCACTACACGACACTCAGCACTTGATTTCTACTGATAACTGTTAGTTGCTATTAGTTGTGAGCATAATTTTTTTTGTTCAGGTTTAGGAAGAGTGTGAAGTGTCTTGAAGCTGCATCAGTGTTGTGGAACCTGTTTTACTCGAGATTCATGCCACGCTGTTGCTGCTGCAATCTTGAAAACAGGTGAGTGGAGCCAACTGTAGGAGTCTTGACTGTACCACCAATGAACAGCTTTCAGTTTAAACATTACAGCTGTTCATTGGTGGTGCCTTGCAGAATAACCTTGTGGAAATGTAGATCCCACAAGGCAAACACAATATCTAACAAGTTATGTCAATGTCACTAAAATAATTGGGGCACACACAAAAAAATCTTCTACCTCATTAATTTAAAGTCTTCTAGCTTATCCTGGGTATTAATTCCCTAAAGGTAAAATGACATTCAATCACCTGTTTAATTACAAATTTACAAATGTGAGAATTTGCTGAACTCAGTTCTGACTAAAACAGCATTTACCTGTTTGTTGTTCTGTGGCCACTGGTATTACTTTGTAAGGAGTCCTACAAACGACAAAAAAAATGGATGATATTCTTAGAGGATGTTAAACATCATGAAACATGGGAAGACAGATTTCTGGCCGAACTTGTTGTGCTCAAAAGTTATCCAGGGAAAAGAACACATATTTTCAGCACACATACTTCCTGCTGACAGTCGGTGAGTCTTCTTGGCTATGTTCAAACAGGGCTGAAGACATACAGCAATCTTGCACTCCTCAATTGAGGATGGGAGTCTCTTTCCCAGTTTTGGGACCCTAAGGATTAGACTAGGAAGAAAAATTGGAGGAAAGCATATGAATTGCATCAAAAACAGCTGTGGTGGGTGGGAAAAAAAATACAAGACCAGGCCAGATCAGTAAGAAGCCTGAGAAAATTAAGAAGGGTTTTCATCATCATCATCATCATCAAATTGCAGAGCTAGAAGATCATGGAGTCCAGCCCCTGTCAAGGAGGAAAAGAATCAAACTCCCAACCTCTGCCTTTTTCTGCCTTCCATTGCATAGCTTCTTATGCCAGGCATGGAGAACAGCAGCAGCAGCTACAACAATGGTTGCTTATTAAATATAACAATTTTTCTGCATTTGAATCAGTTATGAGAAAATACACTTGCCTTTCCGAGTTTGCTGGCATGGTTGGATCAATAGACACCATGCAGTCATCCACAGTGAAAAGTGAAATGGTTGTATTCCTGGAACACAAGAGTTTAAAGCTTTGTTTATTTAACCAGATCATCACACTCTGAGAATTTAGAATCTATTTATGTTCTGACACTTAACAACTACATCACCTTACTATCAATCAGATTATGCCTGTCTAGAAAGTTTTTTTGGTAGAATGTTTGTGGTATAAAAATCTGAATCAGATTCTTCAACACTCAATACATAATACAAAACAAGAATTGTGTATTATTGAATGCAGTTATGTTTCTAATTCCTGCACGTTATGGGAATATTTAAAGTGAACTTGATTTCTTATTGTTTTGTTGCAATGATAAAGAATGCAGCGCAAGAAGAAATGCAGATCACCTGCGTTTCTAATTTCTACACGTTATGGGAATATTTAAAGTGAACTTGCACCTCTTGTTTTATTGCTTCTTTGAAAACAAGAGGACAAGAAAAGTCCTCTTGGATCAGACCCAAAACCTGTCTAGTCTAGTGCTCAATTTCCAGAAACCCCTGGGAAGCTCACAAGGAAGACATGAGTGCAATACCAGTCTCCCATTCCTGTCCCTTAGCAGTTCAGTTTAATACATCACGGACACAGAGGGTCAAATCAATTGATATACAGGATGTTGTTAGAAGCAGAAGTCCCCTAAGAAATTAAATGTGTGTGTACTGTATAGTAGCTCTTTGGATAGCTTAGTGAATTGGGCATCTGGCTGTGGAGCCAAAGACTGGGAAATCAGTTCCCCACTATGCCTCCTGGGAAACCAGGCTACCTGTGTGGCCTTGGGCCAGCTCCATAGTCCCAAGATGCCCCCAGAAGGAGGGAATAGCAAACCACTTCTGAGTACTCTCTTACCTAGGGCCACCATGAGTCAGAATTGATTTGATGGCACACCATTATTATATATATATAGAAGAGTGACTTTTCTCAGCTCTGCACTAGTTGTCTATTGGTTTGCTTCTGGTGCTCGATCATCAGGGAAAAAAATACCAGCTTCATTTGCAGGTGGATTGCTCAGGCATGAGATTTCTGAAGTAGTGCAACTTGGAGGAAATACATGTTATCGATTGCAAATTCTAATTGCCAAGCTGCACGCGGTGTGGTTGTGCCCTTATGCTCTAAGGATTGTTTAAAGCTGTTCTTATAAAACTGCTCAGTAGTCTTACTTTCAGAGCTAAGAGAGATCACTTGTGTTTTAGCAAAGGGCAACTAACAATACCAGGGTTCGGTCTGGCTCATGGTCTTCCCAGGTAGCCTTGAGGAAAGCCCAGGACCTTCGCTTATTGTTCTGCTTTCTGTTTGTCTTAATACAGCTTGGAAAACCTGCTTCTTTGTGCTACAACCCCCAGAATCTCCTGTGGCCCTGTCAAAAAAGCCATTCTTCTGCATGAAACTTGCTTGCAGAGGAGGAAGTGAAAAATACATTGCTAGTGCATCTAACAAAGCATTCGTAACATCAAGGCTGACACCAGCTCTTTTGCTTTACTTCTTCCTAATTGAAAAAAAGAGATTAATTTTCAGATCCCTTCTATATATAGTTTGGATGCAACTAATTACAAATAACCAATCATTCATAAATAATTCAAATTTCCAATCCTGACTACAGTACAACCCCCATATCTGAAAAAAAAAACCCAACTAGAAATATTTATTTCTGCTATGTAGTTACCAGAACTGGCCACTAGAGGGAGGAAGAGACCATATTATGTACTGTATGTGGTTCATTATTATCCACTGCTTCTGGCATCCACAGGGATTGGGACCAATCCCTGGCAGATACAGGAATCTCACTGCATTATGTTGAAGGATTAGATTTTTAATTTTGCAAGGAATAATTTTATCCCATTTTATGGCATACTCTACATGATGGTGTTGCTTCAATACATGATGGAGTAAGCATGCCATATAATCCAAAAGCTGGCTTGCATGGCTGCTTCACACTCAGCTGTTGGAGTACAGGATAAGAAGATGGATAGTTGATGGAGGTGCTTTATTCTATAGGCCTCAGGATGTAGCATTCAGATATTATTATTGAAAGTAACAGAAGACAACTGTTTTCGCTACTTTTAACAGACAGTAAAAACTATAACTATATTGGAAAAGACCTGTGTAACCAATACACTTTAAAAAGTAATTCTCTCAGGTTTTCTTCCTAGTATGTTTTCCAGTATATTCCAAAATGCCAAATATATATATATAAACTAGAACAATGGGGCTACCACTGTACTGTGTACTGTTTTTCTGCTGGGGATAAATGGCATTATAATTATTTCCCTTTACACAGAGAAGATCTCTGAAGAGGAATGTCTTTAGCATATGTTAGGCATCTTTCTCTATTGCAGCCAGTGCACACAGACACACATATCTAGGCTGAGAGGAAATATTTTCTGGGTCAATATTCATAGTTTTTAGGCAGGTTAAGCCTGACACCTCTGATTAGTTGACCAATTAAACAATAGCAGACTGAATCCACATTGGATCCTTGTGAGAAAAGTGGATTTCTTTCAGCGGTTTGTGAATGGCTCAGATTGTTAAATAAAACTGCAGCAACAGAGTTGAAAGGTTCAGTAGAACAGGCTAGTGAGGCTGTTTGACCTACATTAATGGAAGGGAAACAGACTGATGCCAGTGTCTACAGGAAAGTGCCTCAACTTGATCATACTACCTACTGGCAGAGTTTTCTGGGCCATGCCTTTTAGTGTGAGGGCAATTTTGAAAACTGTTAATATATCACTTCCGTTTCTTATATGTAAACAGCACATGGCTTACTGTTTTTAAAGGACGTTGGAAGAACAACACTAATCCAGCCATTCAGTAGATTCTGCCCCAAAGCTATCAAGTCAGTTATAAAACAGCAAATAATTTATTAGTGTCTTATATAATGGCAACAAATCAATCTTTAAGATCAAGTATGACTCAGTGATTCAATCTTCAGATTATTTCATCACTGAAAGTTCTGCTCAGGTCAATAAAGCTTCTGCCACTCCAGTGATACAGGGATTGGACTGGAACTATACAGTCTGTGGAATGAGATAATTACACCGATCACATCATTTTCGCATGAGCTTTCAATGCAGTGGATACTTATGAGTGGTGATGCCTTTCACATCTGAAGGAAGCCAATGCCATCAGTGTTAAAAGGAATGGATTACAGCACTATGTTTTAATTATGTGCACAACTGTTGGGAAGATTCTGAAATATCTGAGACCCAATATATGCCATGCTAAACTTCCCATACTTGCTGCATGCCCCATACTGGGACAAACAGCTCCTTGTACCTGGCTGCGTTCTCATTCCACAAGATAAAAATAATAATTTTATAGTTACCAACAAGATTTCAAAAACACAATATCACAGTGTTATTATACTACAGATGTTTATTAAGTACATACTTAATTTCTATTACAAACTGTTGGTTATGTTCTTTAAAGTCCCAAACAACTTACGTCCCAGATCCCTGAAGAACCGTCAGAGATGTGTGTGTGTGTGTGTGTGTGTGTGTGTGTGTGTGTGTGTGTGTGTGTGTGTGTGTGTGTTGTTTTAATGTTATACTACATTTCCCAGAATCTTGCAACAGTCATGGCCAACGGCTATGCTGACTGAGGTGTCTTGGGTCCTGTAGTTCAAAAAAAATAACTTTTCCTATCTCTGTTCCCATAATAATTGGCTCCCCACTAGAAATGATCAGTTCTGTGTTCCATCTTTAGCAAACAGGTATAATATAATGGCTCAAACACTGATCTGGGGTTAGGAAGTACTGAGTTCAGTATTTCTTAACCCCAGGATGTGCAGATTTTAACTCTGCAATGAACTAATTGGGTGGCCTGAAGCAAATCAATCCTTCTCAACTTCAGTCCCAATATCTGAAAAATGGGAGATAATAATACAGTGATACCTCAACTTATGAATGTCTCCACTTGCAAATGATTCAAGTTACAAACGGCTCCGTTTGCAAAAAGTTGCTTCAACTTGCAAATGGAGCCTCGACTTATGAACCAAAAAGAAAGAAAGAAAGAAAAGAAAAGAAAAGAAAAGAAAAAACTCTTTCCTGCCCTTTTTTTGGCCTAAGTTCATCTTAGGTCAAAAGAGGAACAATTTTTTTAAAGAAAATCCCCCAGTGGTAGAGTACAGATTTACCAGCTTTGCATTAGTTCCTATGGGAACTAATGCCTCTACCTACGAAAAGCACCTTGACATACGAATGAAAAACAGCAGGTATGGATTAAATGGTTTTCAATGCATTCCTATGGAAAAGTTTGCCTTGACTTATGAACTTTTTGATGTATGAACGCCATTCCAATATGGATTAAGTTCGTAAGTTGAGGTATCACTGTATTGACTTATCTTATAGGTTGTCTTAAAGATTAGAAGAGAATAGTGCTGGTGAAACACTGTCTGGAATTTGGGTCTTATTTTTTATGAAAAAATATCACTGGGGTATATACTGTTGCCATGTTTAATAGGTTTTCATGTTATTTTGCTGTGGGTTCTTACTCAGCTGCTTTGTTTGGCCATTTTTGAGATGGATTGTTTGGAAACTACTATAGTGAGGAGTGCTCCTTTTTTCACTTCAGTTATTTCTTATGTGTATATGAGAGAGAACTCCTTATACCCTCCATCTTGGATTGTGCTGCTTGTCTAACTACTTGCCTTTGTGCCTGCATCTTGGAGATGGAAAAGAGACACTCAGAAGTTTTTTTTTTTTTAAAAAAATTAAAGCAAACATGGTATACTTATAGAACATTTTCACCCCAATTGCAATAGTTCTATTTTGTTGTAGTATTTTTGGAATTGTAGTCCAAAAATTATGATCATAGCATTTGGAAATGCAATATCTATAGCACATATTTTAAAAACAGATTCCATAGAAAACAAATATATTTACCTTGGTAAACCAGTTGCAACGCAGAACAAATCCATAATATCTCTTGAGTTACAGTACTTGTTGAAGGCCACCTTCCAAAGGAAATAGAAGCAATGAACATAAAACAAAGAAGAAAGATCTTCTAGTGGCAGTTTTTAATTATATCTTTCAAATAGGGTACTAATTTATAGGATCATTTTTTTGCTAATAAATATGCCTGATTTTTCATAATACTCAATATTCCTGTACTCTTCAAACCATTTTGATTCTTTTATTGTATGTTCTGCTTAGGAAAAGGACAAATAAGAAAGGGGGGATTTAAGAAACTGAGCTAAACATTTTAGAAAAATCACATTCAGAGGAGAATAAAGGTAATCACATGTTCATAAACAGGGACTTCTGGGTTTTAACAAAAGAAAAAAGAACACAAAACCAAAAGAGCTGCTTAAACACAAATGGTTCATATTATTAAAGACATACAGGAAAGTTATGTGTTTCCCTGTTTTCATTTAACCTTTCACCTTTTATCTACAAAATTGCTTAGAATTTTTTTCTTCTAATACCATTGCAAGGTCTGCTGTCAGCAGCCAATCAGAATGTCTGGGGTGAGTGGAAATTTTGATTTTATTGAATGTCATGGTTTAGAATCCCATGAGAAGTGCTCTTTTTTTGCTTTAGTTGTTCCTTGTGTGTATGAGAGAGAGAGAGAGAGCGCTCCTGAAATCCTCCATTTTTTATCGTGCTGCCTGCCTAGCTGTTTGTTTTAGTGCTTCCAACTTGGATCCTTTCTCTCTCTCTTTTTTGCCTTTTTCTCTTGATTTTTATGGAGCGGTTTCCTTCACATTTCTTCAGATTATTTTTGTTGCTATTGCCAGGCCAATCTGCCTGTGCCAGCATGTCTCCCTGGGATTATTTTCAGTTTTTTTCCTCCCGATTTCTTTGAGGATTCCCCTTTGCCCTTTGATTCCTTCCTTTCCTGGATTATTTTTGCCTGCCTACATGCTGGACTCAAAGAGAAGAGAAGTCATCACGTGATGGGGTAGAGAAATTTCTACACATTCCAGTGAATTTGGTTTGTGTGGAGAGGGCTTTGTTTGTTTTTGTTTGTTTGTTTTCTTTTTTCTTTTGCCGTTATAAGCTTGCTTACTTTTTGAAGTAGGCTTGGCTTTGTTGCGATGCTGCCAGTAGCTGCAGAGAAAAGCTCTCTGGAAAAACTGGAACCGTCCAGTCTGGGATCCCCTTTTTGAAATGAGGATCAAAGGAGAGTCTAGGAGAATTCTCTCTGAAGCAGTTGGTGAGCAGCAGAAGAAGAAAGGGATGCAACCCCGGACTTCTTCCCTCTGAAGAAATCACTGACCACGGATTGGAGGCGGGGAGCCATATTGGCACTGAGCCATGAGTAACCCTTTACCGGAGGAGAAGAGAACAACCAATATAATGTTAAAATATATAACAACTAAGTAAGCTGAAGCGTTTGATTTATGAAACAGCCCCATTAAGCTGAAAATAAGAATGAAAATATTTGGCTGAAAGAAGAAAAGCAGCGGCGAACTATCTTATCAGTCTGCTTAAAAAGCGAAACTAACTCTTAATACAGCAGGCTGATTTCAAAGCCAGGAGAGAGAGACGGAAAAATAAATCTTGTGTTTCTGGAAAAAAAATCCCAGATGGTAATACCACCGGACAGGATTCAAGAGACTTGAGTTTTGTGAATGCAGTTTGGCTTGGACATATTTTTCTTTTCCCTTTCCTGGCCTCTGTGAACTTTTGATAATAGAATCAGGTGGTTTCTGGAGAAGAAAGAAGGAGCTGACGTGGTCGACTGGACTGAGGAGTATCAACGGGTTAATGGAAAGATCATAAGACAGGCTTCAAGAACAACTACTGGACAGTCTGAGACTCTGTGACTGTTGCTTGGTTTGTCGGACTGCGTCTGAGTCTGATAATAGTAGCTTGCTAGACTCAGAAGAAGAAGAAATAATTGTGCCACGGTTCTATTTGAATTTGCTGGGTTAAAAGATGATTTTTATATTATAATATTTGGATAAAGATTGGAGGGAGATCTAAGGGGAGGTTTATGATTAGGGGTTTGGATTGTTGGTAAAATTGTAGAAACTGTTGAAGGATATTTAAGGGGCGATCATTGTGGTTAAGGACAAAGTATCATCTGTACAACCCC